AACAACACACTGCATGCTATTTCCGCGGCTTCACATCCACGTTCGGATCCATTCAAATAACCGTACTTAATGAGTCTACTCGCTGGGCGGCGACCTCCTATAGAGTAGTGTTCGTTTGGGTGAACGCTTATCTTGACAAAAATGGTCAATGTAAGAGCAATTTGCATTCTCGATGGACTTTTATAGTTCTGCACTGAGCTAGAATGTAATCCATACATACTTCTTGCTGCAACTTTGCTTGCTGATTCAGTTAAGGTTCATCCAGAGTGTACGGCATGCAGGGTAGGATAATCTTGGAAAAAAGCACTTCAACAAGCAAATTGGCAACTATTTGCGAGGAGAGTTGCAATTACTTTTGCTGGGAAGAGTGTCCGCGACTTAATTCTGCCTATCTATTCGAAATTCTTATCTTCTTTACAATCTAAGTGACCTTACCTGCTCTGGTATTGAATTCCCCTACAACAAATTTCATTTCGTGTTTTTATTGTTCATTTTCTACAGTTCATCGTAAACTTGATTCGTACCATCAGATGCGTAGATTGAAAAGTAACAGTTGATTACGACAGTTATCTCTTGAGGCAGAGGTGGAGGTGGAGTAGGTCCGAAAAAACTCAAAAGATTTCACATGTGTCAACGCAATAGGAATCACTCATAGGAATAATAAAGCCGGTCAGCATTTCGTCAAGGTAGATTTCTCCTGCTAATAATAGTGCTCCCGTTATTTATTTGGCTTAGATCGACTCTTTCTTATTTGCCACCTATAGGTGGACTTTTCCATGGAGTTTTCTAGGAATTGATGTAACAAGGCCTCATGAAGAGTGAAAAGCTATTGAGGAGAGCCTTCTGGTAGTACATCAGAGCAAGAAGCAATTTTATTGCATTTTGTGGGAGTTTTGCTTTGGTCGTTGAGTACGACTCCCTCACAAACAAAGGTTTACTCGCCTGTAACTGATTGCCTCACATTCTGACACCGTAGACGTAAGAAGCATGTCTTTGAAGTAGTGAGCATGGTCCATTGTTGGTTAAACGGTTTAGTTCTTTTTTTGATTCCAGAGACACCCATTTACCTATCACTGGGTGCCACGCTTGGTCACCAACGACGTATGAAGAGTATGTAGTTTATACCACCTGTATCACCTGTAGTCTCGCTGATCGTCGAGTGACTCGAGCGGGCGCCAGTAAATCTTCTATTTTTCCCTGTCGCGTGCAAGAGTAGCCTAGGGGGTTCTGTTCGCTCTAGAAACTCATTGAGCATCATATCTTTCTTCTAGGGTTTTCGTGAGGAACTTTGACCATGGAGTCAGTGGTCGTCCTGCACTGCGTTTAACATCTCGAGTAATCCAGTCACTAACGGCTCTTGTCCATCGGTTGTTACACATTACGTGTCCGGCCCACCTTATCTTCGACTGTTTGGCGTACAGAACGGCATCTTTGATTTTTGATCGTTGACGCAGGTCGGAGCTTCGAGTCCCTTCCCTTACTTGTGTTAAACGGGATACTCCTAGCATCGACCTTTCGACTGCGCTTTCGATAACGATGAGTGATCTTTCATCCTGCCTACGTAGTAACCAGGTTTCTGAGGGATAGAACAATTCAGGAAGTATCGTTGGGTCGAAAAGGTAGGCACGGAGCCGGGTGTTCTCTGCCCTCTTCGCTACATCCTCGATGCTCTTGAAAGCTTCCCAAGCCGCTCGTTTCCTTCTGCTTAATTCTGGAGCTAAGTAGTCCAACATGTTGTTTTCCCGACCTAGATAGATTTAACTGGAACAGTCGGAGATATTCGCTCCGTTGAGCGTGAATGGGGCATGCGAAACCAATCCGTTTGTCATAAACATCGTTTTTGTGGGATTTAGTCGAAGTCCAATCTTTCCACAGGGTTTATCAAAGTCGACAGCCATTCGTTCCCCTTGCCTAATGTTTGGCCTTACAAGGACGATGTCATCAGCAAAGCGAAGGTGGTGTAACCGCCAACCGTCGACTTTCACTCCCATGTTATCCGATTCCAATGTTTGCATGACGTTCTGGAGGGTGGCGGTAAATAATTTTGGAGAGATGGTGTCGCCTTGCCTAATCCCTTTTCTGATGTCAATGTTAATATCGTTGTAGAATGAGGAGTCTGACATCCTGGTTATGAAATTTTTGTACAGCTCACAAAGAATCTTTGTGTATTGAGTAGGGACTCCTTGACTATCAAGGGCTTACATGACTGCTTCTATCTCAATTGAATTAAAGGCCTTCTTTAAATCGATGAAATTGAGACAGAGCGGTCTTTTGAACTCTCACGATACTTCTATGAGCCGTGTTAGTGTATGGACGTGGTCCATCGTACTAAATCCTCTTCGAAGCCTGCTCACATGGCTGTCCTTCGTCTAGTGTTCTGTCAATCCTGCTTAGGATGACTCGATTGAAAAGTTTGTAGACGACACACAGTAAGCAGATTGGACGATGGCTGCCGATATCGTGCAGGTCCCCTTATCTATAGATATCTCCCTTCTTGAACAATAACACGGTCCTGCTGGTCTTCCACTGAGTAGGGACCTTGCATTCAGATAGGTAACGTGTGAAGAGCCGAGCCAGTATGTTTACGAGGACCGGCGGAATGTTGCTCAGGTATTCTGATCTTATCCTGACCAGACCTGGTGCAGTTCGATTTCTCACCGACGAAATGGCATGTCAGCTTTCTGAAGGTCTGAAGGGAGAACCGGTGGGACAACATATCCATCCTCCTTTATTTCATATGACGGGATGTGTACGTGGCTATCGAAGAGATCTGAGTAGTATTCGTGAATGATTTTCTCCATTTTCTTTCTGGAGGCTGTTACACTTCCGCCTGGGCGTCGGAGTGCAATCATCTTGGTCTTGTAACAGGCAAAGCTTCGGTGGACTTTGCGAATGCTTTCCCCAGCCTCTGCAGCTTCGACCATTACTGCTGCTCTTTTCTCTTTAAGACCTTCTTTTAACTCCTGTCTGCATTGTTCTGCAAGCTCGGATGTTAGTTCGCGGTTGCCTGCAGCACGTGCGGTTCCATGCTGGAGTATCAGCTTGAGTGTTTCTGGAGACAAACGTCTCTTGGTATCTTTCGAACTCTGAGCTTTCATAGCGCTAACATGAAGATGTTGAATGAGGATCGTACTCCTCGTCGATGTTGTTGAAAACGACATCTTCCCAACAGCCGACTAATGAATTGAAAAAATCCCAATTTACGGTGGCTCTGGGACTTCAGTTTTTGAATTTAGCGGCTTTTCCTCTTTTCTGCGAGGAATGGAATAGTGTATGAAGTAGGAGTTGGTTTGAGCCCGTGCAGAATTTTGGGACAACAGGGCGACACCGGTTAGGTAAAACTTTCGGTTTACTATGATGCGGTCTATTTCGTCTTGTTAAACTCCATTTGGAGACTTCCACGGAGCTTCTGGAATTGTGAGTTACCATGGATGGTCTTGGTCGCCATGATAAACATGGACAGCCGCTCATTCTGTTCGTTCCATTCTAATCCGTGGGCCTCAATGTGACGTTCTTCAGGCGTTCTTCTTCGTCTAACCTCGGCGTTGAAATCCCCAATGATGACCCTGAAGAGTGCATGGTCGTCTCTGCAGGACTTCTCCGAGTCCATATAGAACGCTTCGATTTCTTCTTCGTCATAGTTTGATGTGGGCGCGTAAACGACGAAGGCTGTCAAGGCCGGTATTGAACTACATCTTTTTAATCGTAAATGTCTGATTCGGATTGTAAGCCGTTCGAATGAATCGATGTTCATGGGTAAACTCGTGTTGATGAGAGTGCCGACGCCGCCGACTTCTCTACTGTCGCATGCTCCGAGGAACAGTTCTTCTTCGGTGTCATAGACGGCGTTGAAAGGCTGGCATTGTCTCGTCTCGGCCAGGCCGATGACGTCGTACCTTATCCTTCTTGCTTGCATGAGCAAGTCTTTTATCGAAGACTCGGGTGCAAGTGTACGTACATTGTAGGAACAGATCCTCACCTTAGTTCTTCGCGATCCAGCAGCTTTCATTGGCTGTTAGATTTTAGCAGCGTCCCCGTACTCGTCCTGCGCGACGCTGCCGAATTGGGGGCGCTTTAGGGGTCAGGGGAGTGAGGCCCTTTTCTTTAACTGTGTTTAGTCTTTTGATACCCACGTATGGCTTGCTGGTCTCTGAACATGGGAACTGGGTATACTCACGAGTAGCTTGCCAGGCTCTCCCAGAGTGGACATGGAGCTTATTTGTTGGAGGCGACTCCTAACCGCCTCCCATATACTTCCCAGTCACTTGATTACAGGCTTTTGGTCGAATTGACTCGTAGAATACAATCCGCATAAACGAGAACGCAACCCACACACGCATGAATGAATACGCCTAGCAAATACAGAAAGTAAATGCCAAATCGGCGCAGCAGAAACAGGGAATCAATCCCCTGGATCCACCTGCGTTTCAGGGACGCAAAGGTCGCTTTGGTCCGCGATTAACCCCCATCCGTCACCTGGAAACGCACCATGTAGCCTCGCGACTAACCGGCTATCGGGATCCCTCATATGAGGGAGATCCGTGGCATCAATGGTAGTCGCCGAAAATTTTATACAATCTATCCAACTGGTCGAAGCTATTGTGGTAAATCCCACATATCTGTTAAATCTGTTAAGTCAGTGCTACGTGGAATTGGTGGAAAAATTTATCACCACCCTCATTTTGAAATTCAAGACGACGTAGGATACTGTAAGCACCTGTAGTCTCGGCGGGCTAACAGTTCTTAATTTGGTTACAAATCAGCGAGCGTTAACAGACGAAGTTTATGTTGCTGGAAAGAACTGTCATCTAAAAAACGTCCTTTCGAACATAATAACTTAACTGAGCTAGTGAACAGATGAATACGCAGATCTCTTGGATCTTGTGTTAGTGATTCAAAGACATGCATTTGCTCACTGATAAATTAACCCGACGTTGGTAAAATAGTTTATTGCGCTGACGTTTCAACGCTTTCGCCTTCTTCAGAACTGGTGCTAGCTGATGATGATACCGACTGCTACAGGATGGATTGACCGAAGAAAACTTATTATCACCAGACGGTCACCATTATCAACAGCTAGTGTTCTGTATGAAAGAGCGTCGCCATGTGAGTATACCACGTTCAAGAATTGCTCCAGTGAAGAAGATCCGACTCGATATAAAGATGAAGACGCTACATCGAGAAGGCTAAAAACTGTGGACCATTGGCTTGTACCCATCGGCTCTGATGAAGACGAAGATGTTGAAGCGTTAGACCAATAAAAAATATTTATCAACCTTTTGTAAGCTTATCAAAGAAAGGATACATATTGATCAGTCATGCCGAGGTTAAGGTAAAGTCGGTTTCCGAAAAATTGCTATGCTCCTCTACCAACGGTTTGGCACCTTATCATGACTGGCTGGTGTTCGTGGGTGTCGGGTTGCGATGTGGGTGGTTCATGCCCCAGGAAGGTCTCCCAAACTGAGAAGGAGACCGACGTCTTCATCCAGAAGCCTAGCGAAGAGTGAACCAGTACCAGGAATCATCGTCGTACTGCTATCGAACTAGTTGCATGGTGGCAAATTTCGCTCTGATCCACAAGGGCGGCAACTGCCTGTAGTGGTGAAGACCTGAGGCAGACATTGCTAACCTCGGAACTCAAGGCAAACAGAATGGCTAAACCACCAACTGTGGAGTTTGCTGGGGCCCGCAAAACCAGTGTAGGGTCGTCCAAGTATCCAAGTAAGTTTTACTTCCCACATTCCAAGATATTAATCCGGCAGTAAGAGCGGGGGTGGTGCAGTGGTTGGAGTCACCACTGCGACACACAAGTGGAATCGATTCCCGGGCCCATGGCCCACCAAGCCCTCCATCCCGCCGGAGTCGGCAAGTTGGTACCACGCTCGTTTGATAGGATAGCAGCACTGGTTCGATACATCCACCGCGAGTCATTATAAAGGCCAGATATGCATTCAAACACCTCCAATGATACTTAATGAAGTCAAATGCATGGTCCATCCTTCAGTGACTGATCAACATCGAGAGCTTTATCCTTTATTCTTTAATCCAGCAGTTCCAGGTTTGCAGCTCGAAATTTAGGAAAGACCCCTTTCACCAAGACAATTCGATAAGATGCTGAAGAGAAGAGAATTGCCATCTAAATACTTGGGTCGCCAATAATCATATGACCTTAACACTTTAGAAACCCTATTAGTTAAGCAGATATCCTACAACCGTCATCGATAGCGGTGTTCGGATTCGTGGATCTAGTCTTTTTCTCATGGGTTTCATAGAGCGCAGGGTTAAGGCATCCACAAATCTTCAGCATAAGCATCGGCTGCTGTTTGTGATTCCGACGAAGAGATAATCTAGAAAGCTTGAGAGGTACTGATGCCATGGAGAACTTAAGTGGAGCGGCGTGAAGACAATTAAGGTGTCCGCAATATCAGACACCGCTCTTGCAAGTTTTTACACCGTTTCAATAAATATCTACGGCGGTAGGTCCTTCTTTAGAGACTTTTTCTTTTTTAGGGTCCATTTTCTTTTCATATTCCAAGCATCTGATCGTCTTCGTTGTTGTACTATAGGCAATCTATTGCTTATTTGCATAGAAATTTGTCCCATCTCTTGATCTATGTGTGCCAGGACATTATTTTGAATTCTTTTCTTGTCAGGAAATGTTCCAACCCGTGCTGATGCGATTTCAATCACTACGTCTGCCGAAGTTTGTTATGTCTGAAAAAGTTTTCGCCTCGACAAAAATCTTTCGTTCGCAAATGCACACTGTAGAGGACTCCTCTTCTCGGTGAGTTTTCATCTTTCTATTTTCTGATGTCAGATAGGATAGGTCCCATGCTTCACACCTTTGCTCAGTAATCTCAGAGCGAGTCTAGAACTTCTGCAAAGTATGTTTAGAGCCGTTGGAGCAGTCGAAGATGAAGAGGGTCAAGGGAGTGAAGGCGTTGATTACGAGGAACAGCTAAAGGCCTTGATGCCTTCAGAGGGAGTCTATGAAGCAACCCCACTGAATCATCATGATAAAATAAAGGAAATGATCAAGGAGCTGGAGGTATGGCTATGAATCACTTTTAGTCTAAAACAGTTGTTGACGTATTCCCATCAGAGGAATAGTATATTACAGTTAGAACAATTTTTCTTGTGACTTCCTTATGGTTTTTGTGAATTTCTTTATCGTTCTAGCATTTCTTTGAACATAACTGTTTCTTGGTTGCACGATTACTATTAGGGGAGCTTTTAGCGCAGTGGTCAGAGGCGCCCTGCAATGCACATGAGATCGATCCCCACGTCCCAGGCCCATCAATCCTTCCATTCCTCCGGGGTCGACAAATTGGTAACAGACTTGTCTGAGAGATAGCGGCACTGGCTCGATACATCGGTATGTCACCGCGAGTCATTGTAAAGGCTAAACATGCATTTAACTGCCTCCAAAGATGCTTTGATGAGGTCGAATGCATGGCGCATCCCTCAGTGATTGAACAACGCCGAGAGCTTAATCCTTTTTTATCCTTCATTTCAGATGCTTGCTTATGTGAGTCGTTTAGGTTTACGCTTATATGTCGAATTTTGTCCCGAAGTCACTATCAGATGGTGATTGGTTCCGGTACGTTTAAACTACTTCGCTCTAAATATTACTCATTATGAGGTCTCATTTGAGCTCCTACCGATTATCGCTAATATCGAGAAAGATTTAAAAGATTTTGAAGCACACAGTAGTTTTTGGTGTGGAAAGGCTTTGCAGTATTTTGAATACAACGGATACAGTTGCTGAACGTGTTTCCTTCTTGGAGTATGTCGCTATAAAACAACGCCGCATGGAAAGAGACAAGATGAAGAAGAATTCAAAGCTGGAGGAATTTCAAGCGAAACTCGAGAGAGAGGTATATTTCATACACATTGCTGGTATCTATTCACATTGTTCACTTCTTCCACGTTTCCCTTTGTTTTTTCTTCCTTTTCTTTTGAAAGCTGTTCTTATTCACAACGATGTGTCTGTAGTGAAGATTGGAAAGAATAATCCGTATCGGGGACGAATAGCACAGTGGTAGTGGTCGATCATCACGAGCATGGTGCTACTTACTGAGGACCAACCAAGCCTCTCACCTCCGGCTGGGGAAGTTGGTACCGGACTTGTCCGGGAAAAAATCTCTGCAATCCAATTGGGATTGCACCAGTCCGGCTATCTCAGGACTCCAGGAGGAATTGACATAATCAGCATTCTACGACATTCAAGGTGAAATGAAAATCTTCAAGCAGTAGTCGAAATCACTCGTAAAAGCTGGAAGATCTTCGTGGATGAGGAATGCAGGGAAGTGAATCGAATTTGAGAAGTGCTGGAATCGGTGCAGTAGACGTGAAGACGGATGATATAAAAAGTAGAAAAGTCCTTACCATTTTAATCATACGGACTGAGGACTTAGCTTGGAAAATCATGACATCTGCAAAAATTGAAGTGTTTGAGTTCGTTAGAGGTATTTTAGAGAGAGAAGTTTGAGCGAGGTGAAATGGGCTATGGACCGGATCTGTATCAGTTGGTTCACAATCCCATGCGAAGTCGAAAAAGTGATTCTTTTTTATTCTTAGTTTCGCTGACAGTAACACTATGAAGCAATACTACTACTATGAATACTACAATACTAGTACTAGCAACACTACTAGTATACTACACTATGTAGCAATACTACTACTTTAATACTAATATAATACTACTTAATGGTTAACTGTCACGTATGACGTTTAGAGATCCACCTGATCGAAGGAGCAAGGTTGGTCGCGTCGTTGCGGTGTGGTGAGACACCAAAAGTAGCGTTCGATGTTCAGTACCTGTTCAAAGAGAAGTCGCGTGTTTTGTCAGAGCTCGGTAATCAAATGCAGTACGTAATCAGTGTGGGTATTCTCTTTGTAATCTTTTCCTGGCAGTCTTTTTTCACCACATGAGCGTCTGCTGCACAAAATCATGCCCTTGTTATCCGCTGCGTTGTTTTTTCTTTTCAGGAAAATTTGGGCTCAAGAACACCTTTCCCTATCAGCTTCGTGAACTTTACGAACAATGAGGTTTCACAAAAATGGCTTCAGCAGTACGTTTTGTAGTTTAATTGGTGCAAATCCTACATTTTGTCTTGGGTTGGTTCAGATGGATAAGATTAGCCAACTAATATACGCTTTGTTTTTATAGGTTGTGTAGTTTTTGATTTCTTAACACTTAAATAACTTCGCTCTATTTTCTATGTCGATTCATAGTTTTATTTATAGTTGGCAAACATTTGATGAAAGGTCAGGATTATTGTGAAATCCATCCAGTCTCTGCGCAACTTTCCGCATATCACTGTCAACTGAACAGGGAAGAACTACCTGTTTGGGTGAATTGTTTTTTTTTCTAGATGTGTTGGATTTTATGGAGGGCAATATACCCATCAAACTGTGTTACCCGACTTCACTGAGAAAGGTGTTAAAGAGACATTCCCTAACGAAGAAATCGTCTATATATCAAGGCAAGCTATCTTAATGCTTATTTCCTCATTACTGTGAAATTCCGTCCTATTTCTGGTAACAGAAAAAAATCTTTCTAGAAACGCGAGAGACGTCATAGATGGTCCATTTAACATCGGGGCGATTGCTCTATGTGTATCTATGGATACAGCACGAGAATCGCTTGGTGCTGCTCGCCGTAGTCGTATTCGAACTGTACGGCTACCAATTAAGAGATATGTTAAGTGAGTTCACACTTAGTACTTGACTGTTGGTGTGGTGGTAACACAAAACTAGGTGTTCTTTGTAGTTCAGCAGATTACTTAATATCTTTCGGTTTATAATAGGATTTAGATGGCAACAAGGTCCGATGTATCTTCCGTTTCCCAATATCATGCGCATTTTTCGGGAGGTTCATCTAAGTGGTGGAGATTGGGAAACAGCATTGCTTAATAACATTAGCAAGTAAGCAAATAAGTTTCTATGATTTTTTGTGTAGTATGCCTAGTGCTGGTTATTTAATGCGTAGCACATTCTGGATAATATGAATTACATTTGACTCCTACACTTTTCTATTTGATCCGTCTTCACGTCTACTGTGTGGATCCCAGCACTCCTCACATTCGATTCATTTCCTCGCATCCATTGTCTACGAAGATCTTGCAACTTTTACGTGTGGTTTCGATTGTTGCTTGAGGATTTCCATTTAATCTTGGGTGATATAGAATGCTGGTCGAGCAGTTTTCCTTGGAGTCCTGAGATTGCTGAGCTGGAGCGTTCCCAGTTAGAAATCAGAGAGTGATTTTTTCCTCAGACAAGTCCGGTACCAATTTCCCGACCTCAGAGGGATGAGAAACTTGGTTGGCCCGGAGCGGAATCGAACTAGCACTATGCTCGTGATGACGGACATCACTATCAGCGTGCTATCTGCTCCTGACACCTACGTTAGTAGAGATAATTGGGCCTACAGCTGCAAACATATATTTCAGTTCAAAGTAAACTTTATTACTAAGAATGGAAACCTTAAAATCTACAGATGGTCATCAACAAGACATTAAGTTCACGTATTACACCGGGAAGGGTTATTTTTGCAGTGGAGATGCTGATGAGTCTCTTTAAATCGACGTTTACTGATGGAACTTGTAAATTAGTAAAACGATATGATTTAGCAAGCAGATTTTTATCCAATCGAACGCCGATTGAGTTGCTGAAGTTGACGTGTGCCCCAAATGCATCAAAACATGGATAGTTTCTATTTCGTATATATTTTTAAAATTTACATGGGGATTGCTGGCTGTGTTATTTATCCTTCATCCATTATCGAGTGACTGGATCACGCTGTCAGTAAAGATGTCCATTTGTTTCTCGCACGTGAAGTAATACTCAGCGGGTTCTGGTCGCTCTAGGCACTCAAAGAGACTATTTTCTCTTCTAGAATCTTGGTAAGGAAGTTTGCTCATCGAGTCGGTGGTCGTCCAGTTATATGGTTAACATCCAGTGGGAACTAGTTATTTAAGGTGTCTGTCGTCCACATTTTGTTAAGAAATATTTCATTCACGGCTGTCCTGATTTTCAACATTGCTGGTACACCAGAGTACATCTCCGTTGGAGGTCGGTAAAGGTTAACCCATGGAGTCTTTAACGCTTTTGTTTGCGTTATTCCTAGTGTTGTTACTTCTCAGTAGTGTTAAATAATAGTAAGTGGTTTTTCGTATCCAATCCATAATGTCTAAGTTTCCAGCGCACGTGTTAAAGCAGGAAGGAGGCGAAATTGTAAGAACGGAACGAAATGTTCTTTGTTCTCTGTACTGCACCTTCTATTTTCTTCAAACGCTGCTCTTTCTTTAAATATATTAGTTTTTCTATATATTAGTAAATATATTAGTTAAATATATTGTAGTGTATTATTTTCTTTCGATTAGAAATTGTTGCTTAGGAAACGCCTGTAACAAATGTGTATATGTGCATATAGCATATATACATATGTATATACATATGTGCACTTTTTAAAATTACTTTATACGATCCTGTCTTTCACATTAATTTTACGGATTCCAGCATTTCTCACATTCGATTTGCTTTCTCGCATGCATCAATGACGGTCTTCCAACTACTACATGTGGCTTAGGCTGCTGTTTGAGGAGTTTCTTTTCATAGTGAATGTCGTTGTTTGCTGGTCGAGTCGATTCTCTCTGAAGTCCTGAAATATCCGGACTGGAGCGTTCCTAATTGGATTGCAGAAAATTTTTTTCCCACCAAGTACCAATTTCCTAACTCTTGAGGGATGATAGGCTTGGTGACTCCCGAGCGTGATCGAATCAGCACTGTTATCGCGATGATCGGCAACATTCATATGTATATGCATATATGTATATGTGCGTATATATATGTAAACATATGTGTATGTTAAAAGTTTCTTATGTTGTGAGATTCTTAAGAGCCCTAGTCGAAAAATTGTCGGCGGGTATCAAAAAGCGTTTACGACTGCGAGTGTATTAAATATCACAGGTTAGCATTTTGTAACCTACTAGTGTGCTGATGGTTATCCGTAAAGATATCTTTGTGCTACTGAAGAAGTAGAAGTAGATTTTGATCACAACTTTACAAATTCTTGTAGACGTCACCTTATACCGCCCGAAGAACAGGATTCGGAGACGCTGGTGGAAAGGAGGAATCGACGGAAAGCGAGGCAGCGTGAGAGGTGCGAACTTATTAGAACAATACGAGAGGCTACTGGTCATTCATGATTGCTATGAGATACTTTTTGTAGAATTTATCAGGTGTCCTGTTGATTATGTTGTTTTCATTGATCGGGTCCGTTGATCACCGCTTATTTTTTTCCCAGCTTTTCTTGATAGGTTGACTAGCGCAGATTCTGACAAGTTCTGAGTACTCATGAATGTAAAATCTTTAAAAGTGTAATGTTATTGTCTTATTTTCAACCACTAGTGGACAGTTTCTTTGTTATATTGTTGAGTCATAAGAGAATGTCAATGATCCTCATTACAGAGTAGTAAATCGTTTCTTAGCCGTAGTTCTTTGTACAGTTTCCAAGCAAAGTACACTCTTTTCGTACTGGATTTGTAGTGAAGTGATGAGGTGGTGGCCAAGAAAGGCAGCATTAGAGGTCGGTATTCATGTCACTGTTTTGTGTATTCCCAGGGACTTAGTGTAACCTAAGTGCGCCATTGTGCAGTTCAAGACCGACTAAGTATACAGGCCTTCGAAAGCTGCGGACTCCCACTGGCTTCAGTCTAGTAAACGCGTGAGTGAACATCATTCAGAAGGGTCAAGAAGTGAGGATTCATATCAGTTGTGGTTCAGTAAGATCTTGGTACACAAATTATTTCGTCTCATTCTCCCAATGCAGGTATTATATCTAACATTGCCATCCCGAATGTTGGCTGATGTGGTGAAGTTTTCTGATCTCTGCATATTACTTTCGAAACTTCGTGACACCAAAGGTGCGAACGCGTCAACAACAAGGAAGAAGCTGTTCGAGAAATTCGTAACAGGTTGCATCGAGAAGTGTAGTGATGCCGAAGATGTTGATGAAGCGATGCATTCGGTGAGTTTCTTAACCTCCCCACGTAAGTATGATATCGCTGGGGCTGCGTGTAGCGCAGTGGTCGGAGGCGCCCTGCAGTACGCATGGGGTTGATCCCGCTAGGCCATCCATACCTTCGGGATTGGGAAATCGGTAGCAGATTTTTCTGGGAGGATAGCAGCACTGGCTGGATAAATCGGTAGGTCTCACGAGTCATTATTAAGGTCAGATATGCATTCAGTTACCTCCAACGACGCTTAATGAAGTAGAATGCATGACAAATACCTCAGGGATTTGTGAACGCGGAGAGTTTTGTCCTTTTTATCCATACGTAGGTATCGCCGTGTGGTTGAACAATGTTTCATGTGTCGCCGGCCTTTGAAGAAAGTCGTAGTATATTGGAGTCAATCACTTTAGACATTGTTTCCCACAGAGACATTTTTATGAGGTGCATATTTAAAAAAGTACTGGATGTTGACGTAGTATGTTATGGTAGTACGGCAAAAATTGTGAGTGAAACCAGAGATCCAGACGAAAAAATATGGGTGAACATTATGGTAACCTAAGCGACATTGACTCGAAAACTTCCTTGTTTTAGGTAGTTCGTCTGGTGCTGACTTCATTAGACACAAGAACGTTGAATATTAAGGAGGTGTGACATTTTAATGTTGAGATGGAACCATGTTATTTTCTCCCTGAGGACTATCATTCTTGATATTTTCTAGAAGAAGCTGGTCGATCAAGTCTGCAAAGCACTAGCGTTATCATCGGCCAATATCCCTGGAGTTAACATCTCTGTATGTTCTTCAGAACAACTGGGTTGCTGTCACATTCATTGTGAGAATGTCCTTATCCCTAATTGACTTATTTCTTCGATTCCAGAATGCAGCGAAAGTTTGTGAAATACTGGCCAATGAGGTGTCGTCAAGAATCGCACCTGATGATTTTGAACACCTTTCCATCGCTGAGGTCAATAGGAAACTGGACAATATGAGTGCTGGCTCAGGTATAGAAAACGAAGAACACGCTGAAGGTTCTATATGACCAAATATCTTGGTATGAGGGCTATGGTCTTAATTATCACATTCTTAGTTTCTGCCTGCTCTTTCTCCATTTCCAAATCAGTATCATGAAAGGACGTCAAGTGAATGCCAAATAGTGTAGTTGTAACATATAGGCACAATGATGCTGAGGTATGTGCAAAACTCTGGACTGCAGGTGTCTGCGGTGGGGATCGAACACGCTGTTGCCCTTTCCGTGGGGTAATCCTTTCACGACAACACCATGTGCGTCTTTCTTTTCGCCTTTCTGTCATTGTAGGTGCTATCAGCAATCACGGTTGAATGAAAGGTGAAACGAAGGGCGAGCATGGCGTGGTGGTGAACGCGTTAGTCCCTGGAAGGGGTAATAACGTGTTCGATAACCACCGCTGATACCTGCGGTCCAGAATTTTGCAAATATTTCAGCATCATTGTGGTTATAATTCAGCTTATACGCTGGCATGAAAAAAATTAGGCACTAAATAAAAAGTTATTACAGTGTAGTTGTGTTTCGAAAACATCAATGTTTTCGAATTGATTAAGGACTTGTGGTTTAGTAGACCTTTTGGATAATTGACTTTTCCTTATATCCCACTACACCAGTACATATGTAAAGGGCAACTTCGTTGATTCCATGCGTCTGTTACTAGTTGTATGATTCAACTACAATCAACTACAACGGAGTATGATTTTTTTTTGACAAGTATCTGGAATTCCTTTCCGTTAGGATCTAAAGTCTCACAACCGATTATAAGTAGATTTTAATAGTGAGCTAGTGACAACTCTATGTTTTTCAGGATCTGACGAATTATATTCGCTATTTAAAAATTGCTCTCGACATGAACTGTTTTGGTTATTTAGCATAATGATAAAGAATGTCGAGGTGAGTTTCGTGTTAAATGGTTTGCCATTTCACCCCTTTCAATCACGGTAGTTATTTTGACAATTTAATGGAGAAAAAACCAAACTCCTCCCAACGGTTCACTGCCTCATCGTGGCTGAGAGGTGTTGTGGGTGTTGGACTGCTATGTACAGTGGAGGGTCCATCTCCCTGGCACGGTCTCTCAAGTTGAGAAGAATTCCGGCGTTTCTCTCAGGAAGTCCAGCTAAGGGTAAACCGGTACCAGAATCCACCACCGTCCTGGTATTAAACTAGTTGCATGGTGGCAAAAATCCCCCTTTAATCCACAAGGACGGCGACTTCCTTTGGTGGTAACGACCTGGGACAGACTTTGGTCAGACTGATCTCGGGACTCCAGGGAACTGCAGTGACTAAACCAGTGAAACTGAAAAGTGCAATGTTAGTAAATAAGTGGAAAGCAAGCTTATGAGAACCGAAGGCTCTACTGGTCCGTTCCCTGACATTTGAAGTATAGAAATTTGTGTAAGGGTAAAAACTTTTACGATATTACTAGTATGGAATGAAAGCTTTTAACATCAGCAAAATTTGACTACTAAAATGTTAGGTTAGCATCTACTTGGGTACTTTGATGTTCTTCTTTACGTAGTCATTGTCTTTCGTTCTTCTTTGTTCCGATCTATTCAAGTTTTCTTTCTCTGTGCTCCATTGAAATCATTGAGGACTCTCTGAGCTTCACCAGTGCTGCTTAGAAAGGTGGTGATCCATAAAGCAGTATAGTAGGAGCTTTGGATTAGTGTGTATGTTATTTTCGTCTCAGTTGAACGTCTTCATTATCTAGTGTAATTTGACAGTGAAGAGCTTTGTCTCAATGGTGTCATTCCTTCAAGCCTATTTTCTTATGGGAATGGGAACAGATCAATGAGTGCTCTGTATGTTCATGGTGAAGTTGTGGTAGCAGTTTTCAGTATCTCCTGTATTGGAGTCGATCATTCCTTTTGGTGGATAAGCGCTAAAACAGCGGAATCTAACACTGTTGAGCAATTTTTTGTTGTATACGGAGTATGTACGTGTAGCGGAGGGAGTGGTCAGAGGCGCCCTGCAATACACATGTGATCGATCCCCGCACCCGTGGCTCATCAGGGCTTCAATCCCTCAGGGGTCGGGAAATTGGTACCAGACTTCTCTTGGAGGACAGCAGCATTGTCTCGATACATCGGTAAGCCATCGCGAGCCATTGTAAAGGCCAGACAAGCATTCATTCCCCTCCAACGATGTCTAGTAAAGTCGAATGCACCTCGGAGTTTGATTAACGCCGAGAACTTTATCCTTCTATGGTTGAATTCTATGATACTAGTCAAGCTTCAGTGTGGTCCATAGAGCAATATTTCTGTTCGAAATTGCTTCCACCTCATTCAAACTCCTTATCTACAACAGGAAAATCTTAGTGAACAGCGTGGCAAAGCACTCTCGAAATGTGCATCGTTCGTTGTTTGTGGTGGACAACTTTGGTTATTGTCCAGTTTTTACTTGTTCCGAACTTTTTTAAAGGTAAACTTCTTATGTGAATTGTGAGAAATGTATTTAGGCTTTTAACGCGGTAGAAGTCAGGTATGGTGTTAACTGGCCCCAACGCTGGACTCTTCATGGGATTAAATTTGGTTGTCCTTTTTTCTATGAAGCGGTGATTTTTTAGCTTGACACGAAGGTTGTGGCATGGAGAACAACGGAATAGAGTATTTTCGTTATCAGTTTAGTATAATGGCTGGAGATAATAGTAGTTCTATCTTGGTTCACCAAGGTTGTTAGTGAAACCTTATACTCTCCCATTGCTGTGGGCAGCATTTCTATTGGTTGCTTCCACTAGTTTTTTTTAGACCTGTATCACTATGAGGTTTTCCTCAAATATCCTCTCAGGTCCATTTTTTGCTGGTAGAGAAACGCCCTAAGTTATTTTATTGATTAAGGATTTGTATAGTATTGGGCATAGTTTTGACTGCTACGACGAATAGGCATTGGTAGTCCTCATTGGGCCGTCCTTGATGTTCAATCAAATAAGGAATTATTATCGCTCAATGTAACCCTAATGTATCCCCTCCAGTGAATCTGATGGCGTATGGCTTGTGTCCTTCCTGGATCGTAACAGTTCTTTTCCGTCTTCTGGTCACGTCGAGTCGTACGAAGACGGTGATCGGTAGTTCGACTTTTGCTACAGAAATTTATTACTAGGGTGGTTTTAAAAGGATTAAAATGGCACCACATATAGGAGAAGGTGACCAGTTTCTACATGAGCAGTACTAGACGATTCCCATGCTTAGTGGCGATCTTCCTTTTCCTCCAAATATGAACCTCTCTCCAAGAGTCGTGCCACTGTCAGAATGACGCCATCTGTTTTCATTTCGACTTCATATTCTAATTTTTTTCCGCTAATTTCACTAGAATGAACTTTAGCTGGTCATAGGGAAGCCTATCATTGTCTGCGTAGGTATGGAAGGGAAGCCACGCTCTCGTCCATCAAGATCTTGTCCCAAGATGATGTAAAATTCTAGCCTAAAATGAAGGGATGTCGGTCTAATTTGCAAAATCGAAGGAGTACATGATTTTGCGAAGCAAGTGAAAAAGGAAGCGGAAGAGTTTCAGACATTTAAAGTACTTTGTGTAAACATATATTAAAACAATCAGGATTCTGTTCTCAGACAATTGCAGAAAAAGGCTTTTGAAAAATTTGGGCTTTCATGTCCAATAACACATAATTTTCAAGTGTTTCATCGGAAACTCGTTGCTTCAGTTACTAGCTATTGCATCACACCTTATATTTTCTTAATAGCAGTTGAGAGTTAGAATTTTAGTTTTTTTCTGTGATCCTTTGAAATTTTCGTGTTTAGTCAACGATCGGTGTGTCGACGAATGTGATTCTGTCATGGTTGGGATCTCAGGCGGCGGCTCGATGGAATGCCGCTCGTGATCTCCGCTCAGTTGTTTCGACGGCCACCTACGGTGGCGAGTCGGTACTGGGAGCCAACTTTCGCCCAATGCTTCTGGCACGACTACCGAAGGAGGGTTGGTGGGAAGTGGTACGTTTAGTTCTCCTGTCGTGAGACGAAAAGTCGGTTCCCTTCAATTATGTGGCCGATTTCTGCTTAGCGCTTTCTCGTAGTCATTTCTTCCTACATTGCTGCATTCATTTAAAATTTTTTTTCTGCTTGTTGCTTTTAGCTCGGTGACCCAAACGGGTTTCCACGTTCTTTTATTACCGCTGCAACCTTTCTCTAATTTATGCGTTCTTTAATTCCTCCTCGACTCACACTTTTTTGTCCATGCTTTCTTTCCTCTTTTGTTCACCTCAGAGTATTCTACAAAGCTGGACACATAAGAGTAAAGGATATTGGTAGTTGTGAGGTGTGAATATAATAGGTGAACGTAAAAACAAGGTGGTGGTAGAAAATGTTCCGTTGTTTAGGCATTTCACTACTGGTTAAAGATGGTATAAAGATCATAGCGAAACATCCATAACAAGTTTGGGACCTTTTGCCAACTTCTTCCAGTTTTGCTTCTGCAATATTTTACAGCTTAAAGAAAATTGTGGAGAAGAGTTCTTTGTGGAGACAAAATATGATGGAGAACACGTCTTAATGCATAAAATCTCCTGTGATAACTACATATGGTACACAAGAAACGGCAAAGACTTCACTAAGGTTTGATGTTCATCGTACTGTTTTTGCTTTTTGTTTTTTTTACTCCAGTTTGTAACGAGAAAAAACGAAAATTTCCTAGGACTACGGTTCTACATCCTCGCAAACGGATTTGCTTTCGGGAAGAATCCATCCACAATTCCGTTCATCGGTGAATGACTGCATTCTGGATTGCGAATTGATGCTCTGGGATAAGAAACTAAAGAAATTGTGTATGGTTACGGAATGTCTGTTTGGGATTTATGAAAGGCAAGGGCTGATTTGTTCTCTTATAGGTCGTCGGCAATTCAAATCACACAACTCAGAACACAGAAATCATTCATTCCGTCATTTGGACCCGAGTGATAATGTCCAGTTGGGTGAGTAATGCGAGGCATCGAACAGGGGTGTAGACCAGTCTAGCAACAAGGCCTAATTTGTTATAGGATTTGAGTTTTTCTTCGTTCTTTCCTGAGATTCTCAAATACTTCTGAGTAGTGATAAAATTTGAACCTCTCCCATCTTTCCAGCGATCCCGTTTTGAAAAGTACTAGCTGGAGTAGTGAAAGTTCGAAGAGCTTTTATTTTCATATTGTTCCGTATACTGAAACTGTTGCACTAGTGTATTCAAAGATTGTCATGGATGTGTGTACAAAAGTGAGGTTAATTTTTGCACTTTAAGCTGCTGTAACTCTCAGTTTTCAGTTGTAATTGTATTTGATTTACTCTATCTGAATGGGAAGTCCATAATGAATGCACCGCTTTATCAACGATTACGAGCTTTGGATACGGGTGTTCTGAAAAATAACCGGAGTGTCAACACGATATCAATCGCTCCAAGGGCAACAATCAGTACAAAGTAGGTTATTTATTGCTTTATTGTGAAAATACCCTCTCATAAAAGCAGACTTGGGTGGAACTTACTACACAAGCAGAGGGTACACTGAGGTCCAAGATCTTTCTGATCGGAAGGCTTATCATCGTCCTGTACTTTGTAGATATCTATCGGATCTTCTTTCTATTTTTCTAGTTTCCTAATGCCTCTGTTACTTTTCTTTTGAAAACTCGGTTTTTTTCAGTACTTTCTAACTTTGTATTATTCCTATATTGCTTTTAGGGAAGAGGTCGAAAGCCTATTCCAAAAAGCATTAAGTGCAGGTGAAGAAGGTATTGTGGTTAAGCGAAAGGATGTTATTTATCAGCCAGGTACCAGGTTGGATGTGTTTTGAGAACCTACGTATACAGTGAATGCTCTTAGGTTATATGATTTTTTATATGCTTTTTATCCTCTTAAGGATGACAAAGAATGGCTGGTTCAAACTGAAAGCTTATCTGAGTGATAACGAACTTGACGTAGCCCTTGTTGGTATAATGCCGGAAAAGGGAAAAAATGGAGAAGTTGCTTACCAGCTGGCCGTTCGAGATGGTTTGTTCTTTGCTTTATTTATGAAGTTTCTTTAAAGCAAAGATTACATCTTTTCAAAGAAGTTCATGTGGAATATGCTTGGTTTAAAGGAAGAGTGCAGAAAACGAACTCCATTTCTGGATTGATGAGCATGCTATTTGTGTCAAACTATAATTTGATCTTTTCGTATTAATGAATCAAGGCGAAGTCTATCGCACCATTACAACTTGTTCTGCTGGCTTGAGTCGCATTGATCATGACTACATCTACAATCTTTCATCGAAATCTGATGGGCCTCTTTTGAAGGTATTTTTCTTAGACTTTTGTCTTTTTTCTCTTTCTGCAACTTCTAGCATCAGTGTTTCACCGATTTTCGTTCACGTAATTAATTACTTAGCTGGTCATTGGTAACAGAACAGAAGCAGGAATATTTTTTCCCTCTTAACATCGTTCCGCGTTAGGCAAATAACTGAGCTCCCTAAAGGTTGCGATTAGTGATCAGTTTTCACCAAAGGTTTGTGGATGCTTAATAGTATATGGGTGCGCTATAACATATGTGCTTTCAACGTTTTTATTCGTTTTTGTTATTTGCACTGAGCGATATCAATGTCAGACCAACACCGAAGGGTCCAGGAAGATCTACTCATTACCACAGCCTTAATGAACTACTGCTATTGTTCAGTGTTTATATAGTATTCAGCTCCATGTACCATGAAGCTATAGAACAAACGGCTGTTTCATAAATCTTCGACTTGAGTCGTATTACGATCTTTAGATGAATTCAAGTACTACTGACTTGGCCCTTTCAGTACTTGAGTAGTTAGGTTTTCGGTTATAGGCTCTGAGTTCAAAGATTGTAGAGCTGCTACCCATCTACAGATTTGTATTACTTCAACTTTGTTAAAGGGCACGGTGTAGTGGTTACAGGTGCCATTCAATACATACGTGCCGCTGGTCTGTTCCCGGGCTTCAAGGAAGTTATTTAAGCTGTCGAGATGGGCAAATTTAGACCAAATTTGGAGTTAAAAACATTGACTTGATGCACCAGTATGCCGCCGCAAGTCATTGTTCAGGCGAAACATAGTACATCCATTCATTTCCACGATTGCTAACCAAGTCGAATGCGAATGGCGCATCACTTAGGAATTGACGTGCGCCGAGTGCCTTGTGCTTCATCTTTCATTAACTTTATTGCCATAGTAGTTTTTCAAACACGGATTCGAAGTCTCCACATGGCCTTATTTTCAGGTTTGAATGCAAAAACTGCAAAATGTTGCAAAAAAAAAAACTGAAAGTTAGAAGATATTCTAATCTAAAGGGGTTAGAATTATGCATTGCCAACGTATCTGAACGAAAGACTAGATGTAATGAATATAACCACAACGTTGCTGAGATATTTGCAAAACTCTGGACCGCAGGTGTCTATGGTGTGGAACGAACGCGCTATTGTCCTTTCCGGGGAGTAACGCGTTCACCACCACACCATGCGGGTCCTTTGTTTCGCACGTCTCTCAGCTATTTCTATCGATCTTTTTGCCTGGGTTCTATGCCGATTTGCGCTCCCCAGATCAACCCCGCTGACGGGTGATTGCTGTGGCAAAAAGATCGATAGAAATAGCTGAGAGACGTGCGAAACAAAGGACCCGCGTGGTGTGGTGGTGAACGCGTTACTCCCCGGAAAGGACAATAGCGCGTTCGTTCCCCACCATAGACACCTGCGGTCCAGAGTTTTGCAAATATCTCAGCAACGTTGTGGTTGTATTTCGCTTACTTAGTAACCTGCCATGAAAATTATAGAAGGCAGAAAACAAAACGTTAAACATTGTAATGAATATAGTTTTAATGATTAGGTAGTATACTTATCTAGTGTCGGTCCTAGATTGTAGGGACATACCAGTCCTATTGCAGACTGTACTGTCGATTTTTCTGAATGGTTACTTTTCCCGATAACGTCGGGTCCCAAGATATCCTGCAATTTTTCTGCAACATTTTACAGACTGCGTTTGTTTACTGTAAACATAGCAGCAATTATGGTTTATTGAGCTCCATATGGGGAATACAAGGAAAAACCATTATTTTATTTCTGCTTGAAAAGCTTTGTGTTAGAAAAACTTCACAGGAACGGTTTTTTAAGGAACCTCCTCCTGAGCTACTTGGATGGGAAATTTCCGACGAAAAAGGTGGATTCATTCGGAGAGAACATTGGCTGGTAAGTACAAGTCACATAATGGCAGAACATAGTGAAAACGAGAATCAAGCTTCCATAAATGTGAAATTTGATGTGAACAGCTCATTGGAATTAACAGTTATCCAGTAAAGTAAGCGATTTAGTAATAGAATATTTTGTAAGGCCTGCAATGACATTATTCTCATTGTCAATTGACCCATATTTTTCGTTGTCCCTGTTCGCCTGTGTTATTTGTATTCTCTTTAATTATTATGGAGTGGGAAACCAGCGCTCGTGAAGTCCAAGTTTATCTCTGTTGATCTGAGACATAAGAGTTTTATAGGAGGGTATTTATTTACGCAATATTTTTCAACATCGTAGACACTGGTATCTTGTTGGAGTTTATTACCAGAAGCGCTTGTTGTTTACTTCTTAGTCACTTCATTGCATACTTGATGTTCGTACATGTATGAGTACGATTAAGTATGCATGGTAAATGTGAGAGGGCGTGCGGCGCAGTGGTCAGAGGCGCTCTGCAATACACTTGGGATCGATTCCTGCGCTTCTGGCCCACCAAGCTTTTCATCTCTTCGAGGTCGGCAAATTGGTACCAGGCTCGTATGGGGGGACAGCAGTTCTGTCTCGATGCCTTGGTAGGCTACCGCGAGCCATCATATAGGGCAGATATGCATTCAATAACCTCCAAACGATGCTTAACGAAGTCGAATGCATGCCGCATCCTTAAGGGTTTGATCAACGTCGAGAGCCTTGTCCTTTTTATCTTTCTAAGTAAATTAAACACTTGCGGATAGCACAGTAGTGGTGATGCCGGTCATCACGAGCACGGTCCTCGTTCGACCTCGCTCCAGGTTCATCAAAGCTACCGTCCCTTCAGGCTCGAGAAATGGGTACAGGACTTGTCGAGGAGAATATTACTGTTTGCAGTCCAAATGGAAACGCTCTAGCACGACTATCTCAGGTCTCCAGTGGGAACCGACGCGGCCAGCATTCTGCGACATTTAAAAATCAAATGAAAATCCTCAGGCAGCAGCCGAAGCCACACATAAACATTGGAAGGTCTCAGTGGATAATGGATGCGAAGAAACGAATCCAATGTGAGAAGTGTTGGAATCCGCACAGTAGATGTGGAGGCGGTTTGTATAAAATAAAAGAGAAGTAAATTCAACAAAGTAAACAAGGTGATTTCTTCTGAATGCACATGTGGGTCTTATGAAACACGCATAGTCGCTTTTGGTCCGCTTTTAATCCCTCTTCACCAAGCACCAAGGTGCTTTTCTAGTAACCGTACTCGAAATCCACCACTTGTAAGGAATCGTTGACTGAATGTTATTGTTATAATTTCATGACTAGAAGCAAACTTAGGTTAATTCATATTACTGTAAAGGTGGTGGAGATTACTGCAGCTGGCATTCGGGATGGGAAATTCATTGATCCGGTGATGCGAAGAATTCGGTATGATAAGGATGTGGAAGAGGTAGACACGATGGCCACATTTCATGAATACGAGCAAGTCAGTAGAATCCTATATTAAATGCAATTTGTTTTATTTTTTACTCGCATAAATGTAAGCACTGGATTTCCAACTAATCATCGTATAGAAACGGAGTGTTGTTCCGATTCTTTCAGAGTAAGGAATAATTAGAATCCTTGAAACATTGTATTTTGTATAGGTTTTTCAGCAGTAGAACTAAAGAGTTTTGGGATTTGTTATACGAAATATTTTTTTTCGACTTACTCGTAGTTCTAGGTGTTGGCGAACAGCAAGTTGTCGAATAAGAGTCCCACCAAGCAAAAACCTAGAAAACTCACAAAAAGGATGATAGTTGAAGCCAGTAAGTTCATTGTTAAAGTAGCGAAACTGTGCATGATGGAGGTATGGTAGACTGTGTCGTACTGGAAACAGAAAGTGATTTTTGCTTCCTTTTTCTTATCTCTCGGTTTTAAATCTTTTCCTTTCTACCGCCAATATCGCTTTAGAGAACTTAGAACGGCACCTATGGGTGGGTGATCGCGCTATCTAACTATATCCTAGTTTCAATGGCCGGTTTGGAGACAGAGGCAAAATAGTCTTACTAAGGCAACACTTCGTGGAGTGAAATCAGGACAAGATAAGAACCATTAAAACTGCTGTGGTGATACAAAACCCATCTAGTTTTTCGAGGATGGAATAGTGGTTGGAAGTTCAACATGGGTGAAAGACGTAGTAATTTCGTTCATAAAATATTTCGCAAAAAGGTTCTATAAAGTTTTGAAAGTGACATACTCTATCGTGCGATATTTTCGTTTAAGTGCATCACTAGTCTGTGCCCTAGAAGCTTGAAATCTAGTGGGGAAAGGTAAATACAATAAATTATTCTTACTTTTCGCTAAGGATAGAAAGTACCGTCAAATTCCAGTATGTAAAATTGTGACTAGCGTTTTGACAACCTTCTCTTTGCAAGGAAAGTTAGGTTGCTCATAACATCCACACTTCGTTAGCGAAAAGTCGTCTTTTACTATTCGTGGGATGGTGGTATCGAAAATTGATTACTATGAACAATTCTTTCTACTTCTGTTCAGCAAACACTGAGGTTAATAGAAAGTCGGATGTGGGAATGTTTACTTTTATTTGGACCATTCATTATTTGAATAGTTTTTTTTATCCAATAAAGAAAGTAGACACAGGACGACGAATCTCGTCTACTATAACATCTGGAGCCTTGTCGATACAATTGTTACCTAAGACATATTCACTTGAGAAATTCCACTTTAGTACTAGTAGTCCTGTTTTCACTTTTAAAACACTTTTCTAGTTTTACACTTCACACGTTAATGCTTTCTAATGTGAAGGACCTAAAGAAACATGCTGATAATTCATGGCGAGCTTAACTGGAGGTCGGTTTACTAAAGCACTTATCTAGTGTTCAGGTGCCGTTCCCGAAATCGACGCTAAATGTATGCGTAAGGATTCACCGCTCAATGGACATACTGTCTGTGTCTTATATGGAACTGATGAACGTCTTCGGAAACGACTAATGGGAATTTTGATGACGTATGGCGCGAATGTAGTTGCCAATCCAAGTAGGTGTGCCCTTTCGAGAACAATTTAGCACTATGTTCGTTCCACTTTCGGGTTTTCTACTAGTTAGTTTTTTCCTAACTGATTTACTTTCGCAGATCTTTCTGATATTCCCATTTGGTTAGCGGGGAGGCTGGGTAAAGTGTTGTACAAAAGCGGGTGTAATATTGCTAAACGGGAATCATATACGTTTTGCTTTTTCTGGAAACCAGGTGGATTCAGGGAATGAATTTTCTGTTTCTGCTCTGCAAGATTTACATATAGCTTTTGTGTATACCTACACGTATTCATGAATGAATTCTTGGATGGGCTCGTGTAGGTGCAAATTGTGCAAAGTCGACTCAACGAAATTTGCGATAAATCGGAAGTACATAGGAGATAATTCAGTCACCAACGGCGAATAGCTCCACCTTCACTTTAGGAGAGCCTAGTAAGATACTCACAGGCATTCTTGGTAAAAACGCCAAGAAATTCGCATTTTAGACTATCGGTCTAGAAGTTGGATGACAACTAGCCTGCTAAGTTCGTAAGACTATGCTAGGCTAACTAAATGTTATATTACGGTGATGACCAATGATTCACGCTGGCTAACTTTCGCAGCTTCCAGTTAGGACTTGATAACACCTAAATGTCGTTTGTAGTACCGAAAAACTGTTCCTCGTACACGAGAAGTATTCTTTCGAGTTGGTATTCTTATCAACGCGAAATTATTGGTCATTAACACTAATTCATTGCCAAGTGACGACCTGAATCGGAAATTCACAATTTAAAATATGTGTTCCAACACCTATCTACGTTTACCAAGCTGTGACAAAGGCGAGATCAAAACCTTTTACATTACATTTACATTTACAACGTTTTACATTTACAACTCGGAGAAATTCTACAAGGAGGGAGATTCATACCTTCTACAATCTCGTCATTTGCAACTTCCTTCCTAAGTTTGTTCAAAGAGAACATATGAAGAATCTTTTACGAGAACCTACGGATTTGCGCAAAATTAAAATAATGAGAGAAATATACGAGTTTATTATGTTGACCAAGACCTGTCGTGGTTGTGTTTGGTTCCATAAGCCATCCCGTAAACGCTGGGCTTAGAAACCAATGGAGAATGACAAGATAAACCATATCGTATTAAGTCGAAAATTTTCACTGACGTATTTTATTGTTATCACAAGGTGCTCATGCTCATTCATTTGCGATTCTTAAGACAATTTATTCATTGTTGGATTTCAAGAGCAGGAATGTCGGTCTGTTTGTCAGTTTGGTGTTTCTGCGTGTTTAATTAAAATCTTCTTGGTAATATTGCTTTCCAGATTTATGTTCTTGACGTTTACTGATTTTGGGTTTCTCGTTTGATATGTGTCCCTAGCTCGCAGTTTCTGTTCCTAACCTCGTTTTTTTGGCTGTAGCTGGTACTTTAAGTGGATAATTAACCTACTGAGAGTCCATAGGCTGGCATATCACTGCGAAATCTATGTGCATTCAATGAAATAACAATAATTCACGATTGTTTATGTAACAATTTCACATGCAGTGAGAACCCGAAGGGAACAATACTACCTTAATTTTGCCGTATTTTTCTCTCCTTCATTCTTTGTTTCTGTTTCGTTTATTATAATTTGGTTTTGTTTTCACCACAGTTGAAAACTTGAGCATTGTCGTGGCAACAACTGAAAAGCATCCGAAGACTAAAGCCCAAGTCCACGCTGGCAAGGCAACAGTATTAAAGGCGAAGTGGGTGCTCAGATGTGAAGAAGAAGGAGCAGTAGTTCCATGGTACTCTTTTTAGCCTTTTCTTGCTATTTTTTTCGCAGAAATTTGGAAAATCAACGGCGAAATTAGATAATGAAGGGATTTTTATTAAGACATTCGCGACCGTACTTTTTCTTTCGAACACTGCCGATTATTTTTTTTGCTAAGTAAAGGACTGAAGGAAACTTGACATACTTTGAGAATAGACTTTGCTGTGTAGCCATAAGGGGCCGTATGTTCTTTGTGAAAGTTTACTCCAATTTAAAATTTGTTTTATATTTTGAGTTGTAAAAAAAGTGTTAAGGAAATCCAGATTTTTGACCCAAACCCACCCGGTCGGTTATGCATTCGGAGGCATCTTCGGATTGAGACGAAATCTTGCTTGTTTGGGACAAAAAGTTTTGCAAATGCGAGGAAATAGTGCGTTTTATGTGTTAGAATAATTTCTGTTTGAAGGGCAGATAAGGGAACTTGGGACTTGTTCATAATGGTCATAAATTCTACTGATTTTTATTCAGACTAATCAATTCGTGCTCAGATATATTTGTTTAAATTTGGAGAGTACAATTGTTTTCGGCTCCATATGTGTTGGAATCAATGCATATGGTTACGAACGGGTTAAAGAGAGGAAATCTTCAAGAAAGAAAAGCTCGAAAATTGGTTGGTCGACTTGATAGGTGTCATAATATCTATGAAGATCGAATTTTTTTTCCCTGCCTTCTCTCACTTTTGTCGATTGCATTTTCTTTCTTTTCATTAGTGTTTATTTATCTAAGAAATGAAATGTCTTCATTATGGAACAGTTAAATTAGAGCCTATAAGTGGAGGACTGTTTTATTTTGCGTCTATTCTAAAGTAGCAGATGAAATAATAGGTGGTTTTTTTAAACTGTTGTTGTTTTAACAGAGTGGTCCGATAGATAACGGTAGCTGTCGTCTTTTTGTGATGTACGAATACGTAGCGTATTGGAATTCCCGTCATCTGAGCACTTGTGCTCACAAAAAGAAAAGGCGACAGTTGTTATTTATTGTTGCGACGCGTAAATCAAGTTTTGTGACCCGACTGAGGCCGAGAGCGATTATCTTTACGACGTGTATATCGTGGATAAATCGCCGAAGTATCGACGACAATCAGACATCGTAACGTCGGAGTCCTGCCTCTCGGATCGGTTGAGAAAGCCGAGGCGATTTGAAAATCTCAGTACCGAAAGAATAGAAGAAGTATTTTTCCATATAACAGATTCGTTTTTGAGCAGACATTGAAACAAGCAACAAAACACAAGTAATAAATCTTCTGGCGTGTGCTCCTTCGGGAGTGAAGTTATAATGTGGACCATAAATTCCGAGATGCAGCCGATAAAATTCAGTGAGATCTTCTTTGATGATACGATTGTGAATTCTAGTCATATGGAGAGATCACCACCTTTTTGATATTGCTGGTTTCCCAACTTTAGATTTTCTTCATTGATAAGCTTATACGAGGTTGTTTCAAAAACGCTTTGTTTGGCTAATGATTTGACGCTTTCATCTTTTATAATGCTGAGATATTTGCAAAACTCCGGACCGCAGGTGTCTGCGGTGGGGAACGAACGCGCTATTTTGTCCTCTCCAGGGAGCAACGCGTTCACCACCACACCATGCGGGCCTTTCGTTTCGCCTGTCTCTCAGCTGGTTCTATCGATCACTTGCCATCAGCAATCACCTGTCAACGGGTTTGATCTAGAGAGCCCAAATCGGTATTGAACCCAGTTAGGCTGAGGCTATAGTTGTAATCACAATCTTAACCTTTTCATTTTTTAACTGGATTCAATGCCGATTTGGACTCCCCAGATCAATTCCGTTGACAGGTGACTGCTGATGGCAAGTGATCGATAGAACCAGCTGAGAGACAGGCGAAACGAAAGGCCCGCATGGTGTGGTGGTGAACGCGTTGCTCCCTGGAGAGGACAAAATAGCGCGTTCGTTCCCCACCGCAGACACCTGCGGTCCGGAGTTTTGCAAATATCTCAGCATTATAGAAGTTATATTTCACAATCTACCTTGCCATCAAAAAGAAGGCAGTAAATATAA